ATGTGTGTGCAGACCCTCCTGTGTTGGGATGGGCTTTACATTATAGTTATGAGGGTGTGCTCCAGAGAGCAAATCCCAGCTCTGCTGAGTGACTCTGGGAAGCTGCTTATCTCTCTGTTCCCCAGTTTCAGAGGAAATGAGCCAACTGCCTTAGGTTATCCTAAGACGGAGGTGCAAGCCACTGGGAGCCACTTGGGGCAGTGCTTGGCCCTTGGGAAGTGCTAGCTTTTATGATGTGTGTGTGTGTGTGCTTGTGCACACACATGTGCATTTAATTTAGTTCGTTCCAATCCAGCCTGTGATGAGTGTGCACGACACTCCCAGGCTGTCAGTAGAGATGAGCAAGGATCATTCCGGCTTGGCCGGAGCTGGAGTGGGAGTCTGCTGGCATGGGACGGGGAAGCTGCGGAGCCTGGACACCCCCTCACCCTGAGTCTCTGTGGCCTCTGAGACTCACATCTCTCCTGGGGTGGCAGAGGGCTGGCTGCAGCCGTGGCAGTCACCATGGCAGAGGGTCTCCATTAACCCCAAGCTTGGGCCCAGAAGTAGCAGGCATCATCTGCCTGCAGCTCATTGGCCAGGGCCTGTCCTGTAACCCCGCTAAGCTAACCCCAAGTACCCAGAGTGGAGGCTGTACCTGCAATTGGGGAGGCAGAGCACAGCAGGATTGGTGGGCTCCAGGGGCCGCAGGCCATGTTAGCTGCATGCATTTGTTTGTGGTTCATCTGCTATATGATACACCAATCTTCTCACTCACTTTTTAAAACATTATTTATTGTTTAAAAGGCAGAGTTACAGAGACAGACAGAGAGATCTTTGATCTGCTGGTCCATGCTCCAAATGGCTGCTGCAGCTAGGAACTCCATCCAGGTCTCCCACATGGGTGCAGGGTCCCAAGCACTTGGAACATCCTCTGCTGCTTTCCCAGACAGATTAGGAGGGAGCTGATTGGGAATGGAGCAGCCAGCACAAGAACTGGTGCTCATATAGGAGCTTGTATCGCAGGCAGCAGCTTGTTGGTTTGTTCTTGCTTGTTTTCCTACCAGGGTATCGGTTCTACGAAGGAAGGAGTTTGCCTCTGGCAGGCCCACGATTGTGCGAAGTCTGTCATGGCTTCCCAGGAAGCCACAGCTAGGGGCATTAAGTGCTGAGTGACCAGACAGAGTCCCTGGGAGTTAAAGGCTGAGGGCAGGGCTGGCTGATGGTACTGGAGCTTACGCTGGCCAACCCAGGGCAAATGGGCACACAGCCAGGCCTCAGGGTGGCTGGGTGCTTGGGGTCGGGAGTTGGTGGCTGTCATGTGTCTGTGGGGTAGAGTGGTGGCGAGGCCAGGTCATGACAGGGTGGCCCTGAGGTGCACCCACAGGTGGCCTGAACTGGGTTCCCAGTTGGGACCCCAAGGGCATGGGGCAGGCGATGGTTGAGGGGAGGCATGGGCGGGCTGAGGTAGCCTCTCTTCCCCCACTGGAGCTTTTCCTAATCCTTCCAGAGACCACCAATTGTGCTGGCCTAGCCCTGCCTGGGTAGCTCCTGCCTGGGGTGTGCTTCCTCTCTCCCCCAGGCTGGGCTGGTTCACGTTAGTCCTCTTGGTAATCAGGTGGGGGGGAAGGGGTTGGATGTGAGGCCTCTGCAGGCCACTGCTGTTACTGTTGCCTTCTGCTCTGGAATCTTGAGGTCCCCTTCAGAGTCAGGCAGGGCTGTGGGCTGGGGCCAGCCCTGCTGCCCTTTGGGGTCTTCCAGTGCCGAACCTCTGCCGTGTGCCCTTCTGGGGCTGCCCTTCCCAGCCCCGCACCCTCTTGACCCTGAGCTTCCCTTTGCACAGCCCCGTGGCTCCTCTTCGGTCCCTGGCTCTTTGCTGGTGCTCCTTGTGCTGTGTCTCTCTGTGAGTGCTCCTGGCCTTCCTCTCCTGCAGTGTGCCTGCCACCTCCTGCTAAGCTGCCAGGGTTGCCCCTGCCAACTCCTGTTTGCAGCAGAGGCACCATTCTGGCCTCCTGTGATGTCTCTCCCTGTGCGGCCTGGAAAGACTTTCCTTGCCTGCCCAGGGAAGCTCCCATTTGTACCTTCCTGGGCAGCCCAGACTGGCCCCATCTCCTTCCCCTAGCTGGCCCCACACTCCTGGAGGCTTGCCCTCCCTGCCCAGGGCCACAGCTCTGGGAGTCTCCAGCCTGGCCCTCAGAGAGGCGCTCAGAAGCTGTCTGCAGCCTGCAGTGTGCCCAGCCCTCTTGAGACACAGACCTGCCCTAGTCCTGCTGAGGTTCAAGGAGGCCATGCGGAGGGTCTGGAAGAGGGCATTGGCAGCTGTGAGCACAGCTGCTCCTGAGCCCTGGGTCTCTGCAGTGAGCCCACGGGGAGGGGACGCCAAGGGCTGGTGGATGGGCAGAACCCGTGCAGGCTCTTCTACCTCTGCGCTTGCGCTGTGCTGCACGTTCTTGTGCAGCTTTCATGTACCTGAAAGCAACACTGCCTTTCATCTGGAAAGGAAGTGGCTGATGCTGAGAGCCAGCGTGGAGGGCAGGGAGCCAAATAGCCATTGCTGGAGCTTGCTTCCACCCATGTAGTGTTCCTGCTTGCTGGGAGACAGGGACTGCTCTGGGTGTGGGGGAGGCTGAGCTCTGCCTGCATCTGGCCTAGCCTGGGCTGGTGGCCAGGTGGGGCTCTGGGGTTCTGGGGCTTTAGTTTGTGGTGCCCCCAGAACCCCAGAGTACAGTCCCGCTGAGGTTGTGGGTATGTCCTGAGGGCTCTGAGATGTCGGGCAGCTCTCAGCCCTTGCTGCCCAGCCCTCTCCCTAGGGCTTTCCAGGATCCCTGAATTCAGTCATTCTTGGAGCCGGTGACCCAGTGCCAACTGTGGACGTCTCACTCGTGTGGGTTGCTGGCCAGGTGGGATTGGCCTGGGGACAGATCGAGGCTTGGAGCACACAGGTGCCAGGGCACATTTGCATATGCAGGCACACCTACCTACACACTTATGTGTGTGAGCTTTTGCACAGGCTATTTCCTCTGCCTGATACACTCTCCCTCTTATATCCACGCAGCTGCCTCCGCTGGGGTCTTGACTTAATGTCCAAGAAGCCCCTCTGGCTCCTTGTCTCCATTCCACTGACCTGTTTCTCAGAGCCCCTCAGGGGCAGGTGTCTGCCCTGTTGGTCCCAGAGCCAAGGTCACCTGTAGGCTGTGGTGCTCAGTGGGCATTCTTGGGGAACATGTGGATGGCTGAGACTCGGGGCATGCTCCAGTAAGTGTACACGTGTGTGTGTGCACGCACATGTATGCACATACACACAGTCGTGTTTCAGAGCTGTCGCCACTGCTGCTCGAGCCTGGAAGGAAGCTGCTTCTGTCTTTTACCATGAAAGGGGGAGAGAAGGAAAGAGGAGAAAAAGGGAAAGAGAGGAGAGAGAGGAGAAGGAGAGAAAGAGAAGAGGGAGAGAGACAAAAAGAAACAGACAGATTGGAGAGCAAGAGACGGAGAGAGAGGCCTATTCATGTGCCCCCTCCCTACCCCACACAGATAGCTCACCCCTTCTGTAAGCCTGAGGCACTCCTGGGTGCCAGCTGCGAATAACTCAGCATCACCTAGCACCTTAGAACCTGCTCCTCCACAGGTGGTGTTGCCAGTGTGCACAGAGAGTGTTGACTGATGTTGGGGTGGCACAGTCTGGGCACCTCTGCATGTCCCTCCTGGCCTGTGGCATCCCTGCAGTCAGCCCTGCTGCCTGCACTTGATGACGTGAGAGGCTGAGCAGACCTGGGTCCAAGGGTTCAGGGAGGGCTGCCTGGAGGAGGAGAGGACATTTGAGCTGGGCCTTGATGCCGAGGAAGGATCTGCATGTGTGGAGGTGAGTCCATGAACTCTGGGTAGAGAGGAGGAAAGAAAAGAGGTGTGGACCCAGTGGAGACCACCTGAACCGGACAGGTGCTGTGGGATCTCCTGGCTCTTGTCCCAGGGGTCTTGGATGTGAGTATGTTGTCCCCAGCACCGAGAGCAGTGTGGAGTGAACAGCAGGTGCATGGTGTTGGATGGTGAGAGGTGGAGCAGCTGGCGCCGGGGTGGGCATGGCTGCCTCCCTACCCTTTGGCTGCGGCTGCTGCGGCTGTGGCTGGGAGAGGAGCTCTCTGAGGAGAATGTAAATGGAGCGTCCCCTCCCTCTGTGCCGGGCTGCAGACACAGCAGAGGTGAGGAGACTTGACAGCCCCACATCTGGCCAGGTTGTGATGGTAGTCACCTGCTGGGACACCAGACAAGTCCCCCACTCTCTGGCCCCATCCACCCCTGGGACAGCCCTGCCCCACCCCTGCACTCCAGGCTGGGGCCTTGGAGAGCACATGTGGCTTGCAGCTGTCCTGACAGTGACAGTGCTGTGCCTTGGAGAGCACTGGGAATGGGACACAGGTTGTAAGGAGAGGGGATTACTTGGAGAATACCCCACCCCCAGCTTCCTGGGCTTCCCTCTGTGGGGATGGAGGAGGGGTCTGGAGGCAGGGCTGAGTGGGAAGTCTGAGCCCCTGGGGAGCTGTGGGGATGGGGTTTCCTGAGTCATCACAAGAGGGCCTGCCTGGGCATGAACCCTCACCATCCTCACTCGCAGTCCCCAGATTGAGCCAGTCTGACTGCAGTTGGGACGTCCTGTTGGAGGCACCCAGTAACTCCTGATGTGTGTGTGTGTGTGTGTGTGTGTGTGTGTGTGTGTGTGTGTGTGTGTGTGTTGTGTATGGAGTGTCTTGGAATGTGGGACTCTGCATGGTCAGCTTGGTTAGCAGACATCCTAGGAGAGGGGGCTGGATGCTGTGGGGCCAGCCTCACCCTGCTGGGAGGGACAGGGTCCTGGAGGGCAATGTCAGAATCCCTTCAGGAGCCAGAGCTGGGAATTTGGTCTTTTCCTCCAGTTAGGTGGGGCTGGGGTCCTGCAAATGCTGCGGAGTCTGTGGGGAGGGGTGGGTCTTGAGGGGAAGTTGGCGTATAGAGGCACCAGCCCCCATCAGCATCCCTCTTCCTCCCAGATCCCCCAGATCAGCTACGCCTCCACAGCCCCCGACCTGAGTGACAACAGCCGCTACGACTTCTTCTCCCGCGTGGTACCCTCGGACACATACCAGGCCCAGGCCATGGTGGACATCGTCCGCGCCCTCAAGTGGAACTACGTGTCCACGTTAGCCTCTGAGGGCAGCTATGGTGAGAGCGGCGTGGAGGCCTTCATCCAGAAGTCCCGCGAAGATGGTGAGTCGGGAGCCAGGCCGAGGAAGGCCCGGGGCTGCCTGCCGCCCCAACAGTTGCTGTGGGCCCTGCTGCCCGAGGTGGATCCCCTGTAGGCCCCAGTCTTATCGATGCACTGGAGTTTGGTCAGCCCATGGCCTTGGCACACTCCTATGGGTGGACTGCATATAGGTGGGGGTCCAAGACCATCCACATCTTGGTGGGCAGGCTGACTGCTGTCCTCCCAGGTGAAGGAAGGGAAGTGGGGAGGTGGAGACTGACCTTAGGGCAGCGAGCAGTGGACCTCTGGCCAGGCCGGTTCTCAGGCTGGGATCTTGGATTCCCAGCCCCAGAGGGTCAGAGGGGCTGACCCTGGTGGCTGGGCTTCCGTGAAGACGGGGTCACTGTAATAGGGCTGGGGGAGCTCAGCACACATGATTCCACAGCCTTAGGCACCCGTTGCTGATCTTAGGAGTCCCCCACTGTGAGGCAGCAGAGTTTACACTTGGTGAGCATGAGCAGCACCTGCAGGACCCTGGGATCTGGCCAAGGTGTAGGTAGGGTTGAAGGGCAGCGTGGCAACCTTTCAGGGTTGGGGGGGCACTCTGTGACCTGGGCTGGGGTGAGCCAAGGGGGAGCTACTCAGGGAAGCTCTGAGGCAGAGGGTGACATCCCTGCCCATGGGTCGTGGGGTTGGCGAGGTACTCTGTCTTGCCCCCCATTTCCCCTGAGGCTCTCGTCTGCCCAGCTGCCCTGGCACCCTCACTGTGGGGGATGGTGTCTGCTGGCTTCTACCTGCGTGGCCCCAGAACTCTAATTGCTTTCCTAAGGTCTGTGGAGTATTCCGAGGCCAGCCCGGGTAGCACCCTGCAGGCATAATCCTGCCATAAATCTGGGCTAAGCCCCTTTAATTGTACAGCCAAAGCTGCTCCGGTGCCCGCAGCCCAACGGAGGGGGAGGCGACATTGGCAGCGGGAAGTGGGGCAGTGCTGACGGATGTTCGTGGTCCCAGCTTCTAGCTTCTAGCTTCCAGGGCCAAACGGGGGCTGCTTGCACTTCTGGATAAGCTAGCTGGTGGCTGCCCTGGGACCCCAGATGGCAATGCCAGAGCCTGGGGCCCAGGTCACCTTTCCTCTGACTGCCCACTCATCTTTTCCTCCTCTGTTCTGCAGAGACACAGCACTCCTGGGCTGTACCACCAGCCCCTCCCCTGCTCGGCAGCCCCAAGCCTCCCCCACACAGATCTCTGCCTTTTCTGTTCAAGGTGCCATCTCTAGGGTCTTGGCATTTACCCTAAGGGACGTGGAAGCAGCACCCAGGGCCCACAACACCCTCCCTAGGTACCTGGCACCTGCTGTCCCTGGTGATCCTCTTGCTCCCGGAGGTGGGCACTGCTTCGTCATGTTGGACAGCAGAGGAGGCCGAGGCACTGAGCGGCCTGAGAGAAATAGGCCCAGGTCCTGCAGTGCGCTCCTTCCAGGTGGAGCTGGTGTGGGATCCCCGGGCTTGGACCTCTCAGCGGTTTCTGGATCCATGTCTCCTCTCTGCTGCCCCCTGCTGCCCCCTCACTGTGGGCGCATGGTCCAGTCCTGGCGCAGGTACTGGGGGAAGCAGGAGGCAGACTGCACCATGCCACACCACCCTACGCCATGCCAGCCTGGGGAGACAGATGTGCTCCAGGCCTGCAGAAAGAAGGAAGGTCTTGGGGTCATTGTTTGCATTTTCCCAGCACCTTACCAGGTGTTGCGGAGTTGGAAAAAAGAAACTTTACTCGGGATTTTAAGACATAGGCCCTTGCAACCCAGAAAAGTAGAGGGGCAGCTGCTGTGCCAGGGCCACCTTCTGAGTCCTCCATTGACACCTGTGCCAGCTGCACTGCCATCTACCCTTGCCCCTGCCCGCAATGAAATTTGGTTTGGAGGACTGTCTTTAGGCCGGGGAGAAGAAAAAGAGAGAGAAAACCACACTCGAGCTGGCCAAATTGAAATCAGAATTGAGCGGCTGGTAGAAAGAGGCCGCTGTACCTTGTAGCCTAATCCCTGTGAAAGATTAAAGATGTCTTTGGCCGTATATTGTATTGATTCGTCCTCTGAAGTATAAATCATTGGTGAGTTGCTCGGAGGAGTGCCAGGGAGGGGAAGGCGGGCACTCGACCTGCTGGGCATGCACACTTGGAGTTGCAAGAGCCAGACTGGCATGCTATCATGCCCTGACCTTCAGATGGGTATAATTCTAGCTGTTTGACAGACAAGAAAACTGAGGCAGGACAGGATAGGTCACTTTCCTGACAGCTGGGAGGGACAGGTAGTTCTGTCCTCCAGGTGGGCAGCCCATAACTGGCACCTAGGATGGTCTGGTGCTGCCCAGGCCACTGGGGCTGTCACAGGTCCCAGGTCCTGGTGATGGCTGGTGAGAGCGGGTACGTGTTTGGTTTCTGTTTTGCAGCTGAAGAGCAAGGTCACAGGAGTGGCTGTGTATGGTGAGCAGGTCAGATGCTATCCAGTAGACCTGGGCTCTGGCCGTGCCACTTCCTGGCTCTGGGGTCCTTTGTCACTCAGCCTCTCCGGGTTGTGGTCAGGAAGAAGCAGGCTTCTGGCACCTGCGGTTGGGAGCTTGGGATGCATGTTAATCCTAGCCAGTCCTGGGGCTGACCTGGTGATATTGCAGGATGTGTCCAGGGCAGAGGCGGGAGGACAGACCCCTAGAGTCAGGCCAGCCTACTCTGACAGGCCAGCAAGCTGAGCTTCTGGGGGTGGCCAGGGCAAGATGCATGTGGGAGTGGGGGAAGGTGTGTGCAGGTACCTTTCTGGACAGGTAAGTGGCAGGCCTGCCTTAGCAGGGGAGTCCAGGCCTGCGGCTTGTGTGAGGTTGGGGGTGTGGATGTACGTGTTGCATGTGCGTGCTCAGTGGCCTCCCTGCTCCCTGCTGAGGCAGTGTTGGGCCCGGCAGCATTGACAGGCGGCAGCATAGCCGGGCTGGATTAGACATGCAGAGCAGGCCCTGCCTGAGCTCTGGAGATAAGGCCAGTGAGTCACTCCAGTGGGAGGGCAGGAGGCCAGGGGTGGCATTGATGTAGCTGTGGCAGTGCCTGCTGTGCCTCTCACCCAGCGTCCTGGGGGCTCTCAGGGGCTGGGGTCTGGAGTGCCATCTTGGATAACCAACCATCTTTCCATATGCACGGACCTTTGGGGAGTTTCCGTTTGCTGCACCAGGCCCCCATTGCACATGTGAGGAAAACCAAGGCATTGGTGCCAGCCTCAGGCCTCGTGAAAGCACTGGGGTTGGTGTTCAGCCACCCCCCCCGCCCACCTGGGTGGGAGACGCGAGTAGCTGGTTGCGCTTGGGGACATCCCTGGAGCTGTCCTGCAGCCCAGGCCTTCCCACATGAACTCACCAACTGCTCACAGCTTCCTCACTGCCCGGCTAAGCCCAAGTTCACTACCTGTCCTGAGGCCATGCAGCTGGCAGCTGGCATCAGCGTCAGATTTCAGCAGGTGTATCCCACCAAGGGGCACCTACTGGGGTACATGTGGCAGCTCTTGGCAGGGGCCTCTCCTTGGGGTCACCCTGAGACTTTGTTGCTGGTTCTCTTGGGTGGGCACACCCAGGCCTGTGCCCCCCAGTGGGGGGAGAGGGAACAGAGTGGGCCAGAGCCAGATGACCTCTCTGGGAAGAGGGGGAGGGCACCGGGAGGGGGAGGCTCAGGCCTGCCCTGTAGAGGACGTTCTGTCCCATACACAGCAGGGAATTCTAAGTCCTCTGGGTTTCCCTGGCCCCCCATTGGCATTCCGGAGGTGCTGGTGAGTCACGCTGCTGCTGCTGCCTCTGCACTGACCTCCAGCTCCAGGCAGAACAGCAGACCTGCATTCAGATGGCCTCTGTCCCTGCAGCCTGGGGAAGGAGACCCCGGGCTCTTGCTGTCGGAGGTGGACCCTTGCCCAGCCAGGTAGGGTGGTGCTCTGCTGAGCTCATCTTTCTCTGGGCTGCCAGGCAAGGAGACACCTGCCTGCTGAGGATGGCCAGTTGGAAAGAAGAGCTGTGTCACCCAGAGGGGCTGGCACTGTGGCTGCTCCCGGGAGCCAGGGAGTGCAGGTTGGCCCAGGGCACTCACAGGACCCAGTAACCAACCCCTCCTACCTGGATGTGCCCTCAACTCCTTCCCCTCCGCAATGCCTCCTCTGCTCCCACCACAGCAGCTTCCTCACTGGTCCTCAAGTGCCATGCATGAGCCTACCTCAGGGTCTTCGGCATGGCTGGATGTCCACGTAGCCCTCATCCTCACTGTCACCTCTGCAGACAGACCTCTGGCCAGTTGCTAGCACAGCTGAGGCTGAAGCCAGGAGCTGGTACCACAGCCAGGTAGGTCTCCCAAGCTCTTGAACTGTCATCACTGCTTCCCAGGGTCTGTGTTGTTGGGAAGCTGGGGTCTGGAGTTGGGGCTGGGAATCAATCCCAGGTACTGCAGTGTGGGATTCAGACATCTGGCGCCGGGCTGATGGCCCACTCCCTGACCACCCCGTGTAACCAGCCCCTTTCCCAGCCTGTCTCTCTGTTCCCTGGCATGCCTGGTGTTCCTTAGAGCAGCTGTCCAGCATCTGTCAGCTTGTGGTCCATGTAGATAGAAACTTCTGCCTGTCTTATTCTCTGCTGCATCCCGTGCATCCAGTGTAGCTCCTGGTGCATAATGGTTGTTCAACAAATGATTATCAAATGAATGATTGATTGATCACAAAATTCCAGCCCCTAGCCACTCACTTTTCAGTTTTCCGTCCACCCCCTGTGTCGGAGAGATGTGACTTCTGGCTGCCGGCAGGGTGGAGATCTGTGGAGTGAGGTCATGCTGCCTTGGGACCCCGCCTATTTCACAGTGGGACTCCCTGCTACCCCCACCCTCTCTCGATACACTAAGGCCAGAAATAATCTCCCAGAAGCTGCAGTTACCTGTTGGCAACTGCTTCAGGATGAAGTGCAAATTCAGTTCCTCTCATTCCCCACTACATGGCCTGATCAAGTACTTCCTCCTG